GGTAATCCGTTTCTTGCATCTTACTCCAGATAGACAAAGTGTCGACAGTCTGGTATTTCAATCGCCTGGGCGGTGCACGGTCATTAAGGTCATCTTCAATTTCTGCCTCCCTCGCAGGATCACCTTCCAAGAGAGACAAATCTCCCCACTGATTGATTCCTGAGAACAGGGGAGGATGGAGGGACGGCAGCTAATCACCAGGTGTTCACCACCATATCATCTCCAAGGGTCCAATTTCAAGTGGACCTGTTCACGTCCCACAACAACCACCAGACTTTGGCCACTTAATGACAGACTTTCTTTGTGTTATCAGCCAAGTTTACGTTTCTGCTTTGTCTGGTGTCTTTCCATCGCGTTTCGGACGTTCAGGTGTGGACATTTTTTCTTTCACATTCCGTGGCTCTCGTTGCACTAGTCGGATTCTTCAAAGTTTTTTCTATTCCTTTTCATTTCCGATTCACAGTTGTGCATGGTTTCAGCCTTACACCCGTATATAGAGCTCGCCTCCTTGTTGTGACAGTCACCTGCCGGACAGTTACTTGTTTCCTGCTTGTGTACTCATAAATGCATATCAGTTACGACGTTGGCAAGATGGGTTCCATGGATCCTATCCCTTGCTGAGGTGGACCCCTCATTCGGTGTATATTTTCGGTGTCTCGCTTTCTTATATCTTGCAATCAGTGGATTAGTCTCCTTTCTCCAATCTGCGCTCAGATCTGGGATATCTTGTAAATGATGGAATGCAAGATGTATCTATTAAAATTTTATAGTTATATATTTTTATATATTTTTATATTTTATATCATTTTTTTGTAAAGCAAAAACATCCAGTGGCTATCACTCTTGCAGAATCGATGTTGGGTGTCTTCCTGTTAAGAATGTGTCTTCTTGCATACACACTAGCTCCCCAATACTTCCCTATGGGCAAATAATTGGATTGACTGAGACCATCAGCAACGACAATGGTGAGTAAAACTGCTTGTTTTATAATATCTCTGGGAACTTAAATCTAAGTGAGAAGTACAACACTCTAAATTTAGGAATCCATATTTCTATTCCTAACATTAGAGTGTGCCATTAAGTTGAAGAGGAGTGGGAGAGAATTGGTGGTGGCCCATGAAGGTGAAACCCATAGGTTGGTGGAAAGATGTGGTGATGCAACACAAAGGTTAGACACATTAACAGATGCACTGAAGGCGTGCTCTTAAATTCCCATACTTTACATCCATCAGTGTCTCTTAAGGCAACAAGTACAAGCTGCAACACAACAGCGATGAAGATAGGTGCTTTGGTGTCACACTTGTGGTGCAGTTCTACATCTACAGAGATAACTCTACATTCTCATACATGAGATCCAGTCAATATATTATTTGAACTAGACACATCCTTGGGATCTGCCTCCAAGTACTAACAGAACTTTTTCTATTTGGGATCATGCAACCTCCATTTTTGTTTCCCCCCTCTTTTTGTAGACTTTTTGCGTCTGACAATTTCACTTGTTAATTATGTATGGACAGTATATATGTTATGTTTGTGCTATTTTATATGTTTATATATTGTCTCCAGTTTACCTTTTTATCTCTTCGCTGTATTACTGGGTATTCTGTCCTAATGCCCTCTTCCTTCTTGAGTATTATTATCTTTTTGAAACTATTATTATTCTGCAATGCATTAAAAGTAAAGTAATTGACAGACAAATTATTAACAGAGAGAAAGGGGTGAAAAGGGCTCTGCTCAAACAAGCCTACAATTTACATGTAAGCCGTACACTTTGTGGGTTTAATTATCTTTCCTTGGCAACTGATAATGCCATCTTCTCTAGTCCTCATAATGATGTTTATGGACTGCTCTACTTTTCTGTATTATTTAAAAACCCTTGTTTCACTTCATCTTTATTTCCATACAATGTTGTATTTTTTTTTTTTATTCTTTAATATTTTGTGCATAGATGATAGATGTAACATTTAGGCTAGTAATGCTACAACAGCCGTTGCTAGAGTTTTGGAGACAAAGAATTCCAGTTGCATGGCATAAATAAACAGCAGTATGTTGAGAGTCAGTGCGCGTGCTAGCGCAGTTGTATGGATTATCAACTGACTGTGCTGATGAAAGTGTATAACGGTTAACTAACGCTTCCAAATTTTATCAGTGGGTGTAGCTGGAAAAGTTATAATGCTATGTGATAAAAACTGCATATGGTGCATAGGATGCGTGTGCCACTGAGTGGGTATGGTGAATCAATATAGGTACTGATGTGGTGCTACTGCAGAAAAGGTGGGGGTAGATCCTAGAGTGTAGCTGCTGTGTTGAGCTATGGTTGGTGTCTAGGTACAGGCCTATATGGACTTAGCTGGTCACTGGTCGAACTGTATGCAAAACATTAGCGAAAGCAAGCCAAATAAAAACATAAATCATGCAGTTCAAAGAGATGCCCCTGAGTGGAGGGTCAGTGACCCGGTGATGCAAAAGTCCTCTGGCCATCCGAGCTGGGTATGGAGACAGGTCCTGGAATGTCCTCGCTTGGCCACTCCGCCAGCCCCGAGCCATTTTGGGAGCCGCTGTGTGAGCCCCTCTGCTCCAGTTTCTCATGCGTGCTGTTGGTGAGATGCTGTCTCCACTCGAGCTCGCGGCAAGCACCGGGCTTCGGGCTTTCATTCCGGAGAGGAGGTGGTGGGTATCTGGCCATTCAGGGCAGGATGTGGCTGTCAGGCGTGCTCTCTTCTTCTTCCCCGGCCTCTTTGGTCTGGGGGCTGATCCAGTACTTTGAGGCCTGCCTGCCAAGTGGCATGGGGGCCTGGGTGGTGAGGGTCTGCACCTGTCTGCTTGCAGCCGCTTCCCTTCAGCCAGTGCACCTCTGTGCCTCAGCTTCCGCCAGAAGTCTCGGAAGATTGCATCCAGCTGCTGGTCGAAGCTTTCCAGCAGACCTTGTGTCGTCGTGGTCAGCGATACCGTCGCCATCTTTGCTTAGGCCTTGGCACAGTGCTAGCTTTCAGGATCAGGTGAGTGTCCTGGATCCACCAGTTGCCCTACAGTAAAGACTGGGATAAATCTCACCGGCGGGGGGGGGGAATGGGGATCCCAGGTGCCGCAGCGTGTTCCTGCAGGACTGCTTACAGGGAGATCGGCCATCTCTCCCACACTTGCGTCCGCAGGTAGGCCTTAACTCTTGGTCAGTCTCTGGATGCTTTTCAGAGCTCGGAAACCCATCCGGTGGAGTCTTGGGTTGTCACTGATGCTCTGCTGCACCAATTCAGTAGTGTTTGGCTTGATTTGTCCACAAAATGTTGCTTTTTAGCGGGTTTCTGCTTGGAGCTCTCATTTAGTGCGACCAGTCTGAACGGCGGTAAGGCCTCGCCCCACAATGTTGTATTTTATGTTACTGACTTACTGTCGCAATGATGTTTTATGCTGCACTATGTATTGGGAGATGAAAATAAAATTTGCAGCATCTATGGCGAGCTCCTCTCAGGAAGAAACTCAATTTGTTGCAAACATATTTCTCTTTGCAGATTTTAAACACATAAGGCCCAGTAAAAATCTTACATCCAAACTTCACCTTTAGCTAAGCAATGACTTTCATTAAGACACACTAATAGGATAGTCAGTAATTGGGAAGTTCAAGTAATATGATATTTAAATGTAAAATATAAAGGCGTCAGCTCAAGAATACAGTATAACCAGATGCAAAAGCTTGTGCGAAAGGGGTCTTTACTAATCTAAATTCACAGAAGAATACCATTCATTTGACTTCTGTTCATATTATTCAATCACTTTCATAATGTAAATGTAATTTATCCTTTTTTTTTATTTTATTTTTTTGCTGCATTTACTTTGCAACATTGATATTTTAATTAAAAAATTCTACATTTTTCAACTTGTTTTCTCTACCACAAGTGCTCAACCTTCACCATTTTCTTATAGCAACAATAATTGTTGTTTTTTTAGTTTCTTAGGGATCACAGGATCATATTTTTTCCCAGGATATAGAAATGTACATTCCTTATTGACCACTAGAGAGTGCTCCAACACCACTACCTTACAGTACAGAGTACTTTTTGTATACGTATACTTTCTGTTTGAATATCAACAATAATTTAAAAAAATTACCTAATATTGTACTTTGTATATACATTTATTTATCTTACATTTTGTACTCTTAACCATGTTTATTTACAGTGATTAGAAATTAAACATTAGATATTGGTTTGGATTAGATTCATTTCCAAGGACACAATCAGAAAGTAATAGCAGTCACCAGTGATTGTTCAAAGTGGAAATTTTGGGGATGAAGCCTCCATGGCTTACAAGTATCTATATATTCTAAACTGAAATGTATCATATCAAACTAGGAATTCTATTTATCCACAAGACATTGATGACTGCACTATTTTATCACCTAAAGTTACTGTATATGCCACATAAAGCATATAAATGCTTGCATTCATGGTTGGTCTATAAAAGACAAACCTGAACCCCATGCAAAGCATCAATCACACAAATATAGTGACACATACTTCAGTGTTGAAATTAAAAAATATCTATTTTCCAAATAGAAGTACTTAAAAATATACATTAAAGCACAGGGATATATTGTTTTGTCTAAATTCAATGCAGGAGCCCTTTAAATAAACTCATATTTCAAGAATTCTACAATAACATGGAGTCTTGTAGACATGTGCATTAGTTTTCGTACGAATACGATTTTGTTCGAAAATTACGGTTTTTCGTATTCGTTTACTTAAACGAAAGCCCTATATACAAAATATAAACGAAACAAAAGGGCAAATGTCAAATGCATTACCTTTTCCAATGGCTGCTCGCTGTCATTTAACAGTAAATGTAAATCAGTATGGTGGTCACTGAAATGGAAAAATCATTCAATACATTGATTATTTCTTTGTGTATCTGCCCCTGGCCAAATCAATGAAACAGTGCGTGCACGCTCCCTGAAGTAATTCACACCAGACACAGGTTCCAGGGTGTTGAATAACTTGAGGAATGTTTATTCAGAGGGGACGGCAGCTCCCTTTTACAGCAAAATTACATCATAAGCATTGTCAGAGATAACATGGAATAATACATCAATAATTGGTTAAGTGTTAAGTGTTTTACTCAAAGCACGTCCTACAGGGTGTGCCTTCTTATGTCATTACTGTCGTCATGGAGTTCTCCCCCCGGATTCCAGCGCCATCTTGAAAATTAGAGTGTTTGGTCGATGGGTGGGGTACTCCTGAGTGACATCTAGTGGTTAGTTTAGTAATTTATTGAATAATATTGAGTATAACTAAATGGAGTAAATAGACATTTTACTAGCTAAAAATATGTCAATATTTCATGTCACCAGGTCCATGAGGGTCTCCCACGGTTTCCCGTCGCCATCTTGCTGCACGAGGTAGTTAGTCGGTGTTAAAGGGGCAGGGGGAGGAGGGGGTTAGAAGCTTCTAGCAGCCATCTTGATTAGAGCACGTGTGTATAGCTTTATATATAATATATCGTGGAATGAGTAAATAGACATTTTCACTAACTAGGAAATATGTGCAGACCTTATTTCCACAACAGTCCCCCCTAAAATGGCTATATACCATAACAACTGCTACTGTCCCTAATATGTCCCTAGCTGCCTGCAGCTCATCTGTCTTAACGAGCATCGAACACTTCACTCCGTGGGTAACCCGCAGCGGCTAGTCCACCACATCTCCGCACGTGAGACTCGCCTGTAGAGACAGACGCTTTCCCTATGCTATCCCTATGAAAATGCAGTTGTCTGTCTGACTTGGTGGGATTGGAGGGGTGTATGTGGTGTGTCACATTCTAGGTCAGTGATGTCTTAGTGTAGTAAAGTAGGGGTTACGTTGTCTATAGTCTTCCCTACTGTCTTCTGTAAATACTTTTGTATGCAAGGGAGCACGCAACAGGTTAAGAATAAGAAGATGATAATCATTATAAGAACAGCTGTCCCTACCTGGAAGAGGGTCCTTTGCCAACCATTCATCCACCCAAACCATCTGTCCCAAGTGTCAGTGACTCCCGAATTCTTCTTTAGCTCATCAGAAAGACTATCTAGCTTCTCTATGGCCATAGTTACCTTACCATTGGGCCCAGTGTTGTCTGGAATGAATGTGCAGCATGTCATGGTTTCAGGGAGGATCTTATATACACCCCCCTTCTCGGCTAAAATCATATCTAGGGCCATTCTGTTTTGAAATGTCATTTGGGTGGTGGCTTGTAACTGCTCTGCCAGGCCCTGTAGGGCATCCCTAGTGTAGTTGACAAAGCGCTGTTGATTATAGTAAATGTAGTTAATCCAATTGATATTCTTATTAGCAGTTATCATTGGAATTAAGGATTCAAATCCTGCTGCCACTTCATCCCTTGCTTTGAACTCGCTAGGCACCCCCCTTGGCACACCTATGGCATCAATATACACATGGGGGTCGAAGCTCCCTCGGATGGGAGCCTCTCGTTTGGTTCTAGAATGTACATGTGTAAGGTTTAATGTGTTATGACTACCATCTGGAATAATGTGGATAGGCATTATAACTTTGGCTAGGGCACACTCCCCCCACCATTGCCCAGCTAGTTGGGCCCTCAATTGTCTGTCACCACATAACCAATAGATATCTCCAATGATCTTTGCATGATTTATTAGCAGTGACACAGGTGGGCTATGGTAGGTTGAGCAATATCCAGATGGAAATCTGCCCAGATACACACCAGTATTCTTAGGTATAGCATAACATGTGTAATTACCTGGATACACGGTGACTCCATCAGGTGGCTTGACATATCCATGAGTGATTGGGTAAACCCTTTTCCATGATTCACATGTTGAGGAATTTGTGGTGGACTGTGCATAGAGGCTTAGGACACATAATTCTACTTCGGGAGGTAAACTTAGAGGTACCGTACCCAGATGGGGCCTAGCTCCTCCACATACATAGCAATTAGTCTTATTGTGTGAGTTGGCATTATACCTCATCCATTCTAGCCACAAATTAGTGTCTGAAAACCCAGTCTCTACCGCCATAGTGTCTTCAAAGGTGGGATTGGCTATAGCTACCATGTCATGTAGAGTCTTAATATGTGGTTTTAACGGGTTAATAGTCATGTGAGTGGTTCCTACCCAGTCTGGTGAGGTGAGCCTTTTTGCTAGGTATGTCTTTGTATATGGCTGCATATTGTGTTTGTGGAAAAGGTGCAAACAACTATGTCACAGTAATCAAAGGTGTATGTAGCTACATATGTGTTAGAAGAATTGTACCAGAAAGTGTAAACATGATTATCTTTGGTTATGACCACTTGTTGGGCCCAGGCAAAGTGTAGCAGCATAAGAAAACACACGACACATAATAAATTCATATTTCCGCAGGATTAGCCTCTTCTGGAGCAGGCACTTTTTTGCAATGTGAGGCGTGTATCCAAGAACTCTTCCCGGCTAGTTTAACTGACGTTGCTGTAATCAGGAGCACTTGATAAGGACCATCAAATCTCGGTTCTAGGGTGTGTTTCCTGAGAAACTTCTTGACCATAACCCAATCACCAGGAAGCAGCTTGTGTGTACCTGTATTCGACTCAGGATCTGGAATAGAAGAAAACACTTGGGCATGTATTTTGGTCAAGGCATGTGAGAGGGCAGTCACATAGTCTACCATAGCATCTGACTGAATCTGAAGTTGTTGAGGGAAGTAACAACCTAGTCTGGGTGCTGTACCAAATAAAATCTCATAAGGTGATAGGCTATATTTTCCTCTAGGAGTGTACCTCACGCTAAACAACGCTAATGGGAGACTCTCGGGCCAGGGCATGTTAGTTTCTTGTGACATTTTAAGCATTATGGCTTTCAAAGTGCCATTCATGCGCTCTACCTTACCACTACTCTGTGGGTGATATGGTGTGTGGAATGCAAGGGTCACCCCCAGTGCTGACCAGACTTCCCGTGTTAACGAGGCAGTGAAGGAGGTCCCTTGGTCACTTTCAATCCCTTCTGGAACTCCATATCGATAAACAATTTCAGTCAAAAGGTACTTGGCTGTAGTCCTCGCGGTGAGATTAGTCACTGGGAAGGCCTCTGGCCATCCTGAAAACACGTCCACTATGACTAGTGCATATCCGTAACGTCCACTCTTTGGCATTTGAATATGGTCAATCTGGATCCTCTGAAAGGGGTATTGTGGCTTGGCTAGGTGATTAGGTGCGGTCTTTATAATCTTTCCAGGATTGCATTTAGCACATATAGTACAAGATTTACAGTAATTCTGTGTTAAGGTAGTGATGCCTGGTGCTTCAAAATACTTGTCAATCAATGAGTTCATCAGATGTTTTGATAGGTGGGCTGGCCCATGGGCCCATTGGACCACCGCTGGATACATATTTCTGGGTAGGCAAAACTTGAGATTGATAGTGTAAACATGATCACGGAGTAAAGCTCCTTTGTTCTTCCAACTTTGTTTCTCCTGGGGAGTAGCAGTAGCTGGTTGTTCCTTTAGAAGCCTAAGATCCGTAGGCAGTGTCTGCATGGTGTAGATGGGCACTGCGTCTGTGGCCACTCTTCTGTCCACTTCCCATCCTTGTCGTGCTGCTTCCTTAGCAGCCTGATCAGCTAAGTGGTTGCCCCGTGCTTCTTCTGAGTCTAGCCTTCCGTGGGTTTTTACTTTTAATACTGCTACCAAATTAGACCAAAGTCATGTGCTACTCTCAGAGCATATCTTGAGTCTGTATAGATGTTGACACGTAGGCCTTCAGACAATTTACAAGCCACAGTTAGGGCTGTTAACTCTGCTTCTTGAGCAGACTTGGTTGGTTGTAGGGCAGCTGCTTGTAATACTTGACATCCGGTGGTGACTGCATACCCAGTGTGATATTGTCCCTGTTCATCAGCGAATCTTGACCCATCCACAAATAGTGTTTGATCCGGGTTGAGTAATGCAGCTTCATAGACAGTTGGTAGGTGTGTAGTTTCCATTTTCATTTGTTCAAAACAATCATGAGGAATATCTAGGTCACAGTCTGTGATGAGTGGGTCTTCACGGGCTTCTGTGTGGTACCTTGGGTACCCTGCTGTACAGTAATTAATAGTCTTTTTGTTGATCCCCGTAGAAGTCAGTTGTTCTTGGTTCATTTGACTCCAGGTCTTGGCCATCGGGCCTCGGTCTTTCCATGAGGTGTCGGGGGATCTGGTGAGAGATATGTGTGGGATAGCTGTTTCCCAATGATGGTAGAGATGTGTCATGTTCTCTGGAAGATGGACTAAGAGAGCAAGGTACCTGTGGGGTCCCATAACAAGTCAGTCAGGGTAATTTGAATTTCCTTGAGCTGGAATAATTCTTCCTCATAGTTCATATCAGGGCCTGGTCTGTCTTTAAACCATAAGGTGCAGTGAAGTAGGGCTTCTGATTGTTCATCATGTGGGGGTGCAAGTGCAGGCAGCTGCAAATCTGCTCGAACCTCTGGGTTGATGTCCAGGATATACCAGTAATGCACAATTTTCCCCCTTGGGAAGTGGCAGAAGAGTGGCCGGGTTCAGGGAGAGACATCGCTGAAGTTTCACATTGTCATGTAACAGTAAGGATGTTTGTAGACGAAGGTAACTTTGAGAAGAAAGGTGCTTAGGTTGAACTTGTTGCAGGATTGCAGTAATGTCATGAGGGGCCAACACCGTGAGGTGGTGACCAAGAACAAAATCATTAGTCTTGTCCAAGAGGACACTGGCAGCAAACACCGCTCTGAGGCAGGAGGGACTACCCCTAGCAACGGGGTCGAGCATGCAGGAAAAATAGGCAATAGGTCGCTGTCTTGAGGACTCCGGAAGAATGTCCAGACTTTTCTGAGACAAACAGATTGAAAGCAGGTGCAGAAGCAATAGCTCTTTTCAGATTTTGGAAACAGGTAATAGCTTCTTCGGTGAGGGCGTCATAGAGTGGCTGCATGAGCTTTGAGGCTTCCGGTATCCAGGACCTGCAGTATGTAATGAGACCCAAGAAGGCATGAAGAGTCTGATGTGTTGCAGGTAATGGGAGTTGCAAAATAGCTTGTACACGCTGAGAAGTTAGACGTCTGGTGCCATGTGAAAGACAATGTCCCAAGAAGACCACAGAGGGCCAGCACCATTGCAGCTTGGATTTGGAAGCTTTGCAACCGGCTTCAGCGAGAAAACATAGGAGATCTTCTGAGTCACGTTCAGCAATAAGTGAATCAGGAGCACAGAGAAGGAGGTCATCAACATATTGAAGTAGGACAACATCAGAGTGAGTTTTCTGCCAGGGTTCTAGTACCAAAGACAAGGCACGGGCAAACTGAGTGGGGGAATTCTGGGCCCCCTGAGGTATGACAGTCCAGGTGTATTGTCCTTCATGGGTAAAAGCGAAGAGGGAGCGACAGGAGGGGTCTAGTGGCACACTGAAAAATGCATTAGCCAGATCTACTACAGTGAATACTGTGGCTGTAGGTGGGACCTGAGATAGGAGAATATGTGGATTTGGAACAATGGCAGTATCATTGACAGTCACTTCATTGACAGCACGAAGGTCCTGGACCATCCTGTACTGGTCAGGTTGTCCTTTAGCAGTTCTCTTCTTGACAGGGAAAAAGGGGAAGAGGGAGTGTTACATGGAGACACATACTTAATGAGGGCACCTTTGGCGAGTAGGCTTTCGACTTGTTTGGTGATAGCATCAGTTTGTGCAGGTTTCAGAGGATACTGTGGCCTACGGGGGGGTAATGCTCCTGGCAGGAGCTTGACCACAACGGGGGGCACTTATAGACATCCGATGTCATCTGGGCCGGTGGACCAAAGCTTTTGTGGGATACGGTCCAGAGCACTGGGGGTTTGTTGTACCCGTGAATTCCTTGTGGATGTGGTGAGGTTTAACAATATGGGCAGTGAGCAGAGTACAGTGGTGTCTGTCTGTGATAAGGGTGTAGTTAACTGGACCCTGGAGCCGAGAAAGAACATCAGCACCCAAGAGGTTAATGGGACAAGTAGAAGAAACAACAAAACGGGAGAGTATGTGTGAACCAACATGCAGGAGTGTAGGGAGGGGGCTACTGCGGGGTGTACCATCCACCCCAACACAGGAGACATCGGTGTCTGACAAAAAGGAGGGGTCAGGCAGGTCTTGTTCCCTAAGAACACTACGGGCTGCACCTGTGTCAACTAGAAAGATAGATGAATGACCCTCTACGGGGAGAACTACAGTAGCTAAGGGCCCTCCCCCGCAGACACTGCCATGGCAGGGGTTGCTGACACAGGCTTGCCGGTTACCTATTGCAGTAAATCTAAATGGGCCTGGTCGGGTCCTTGGTACCGGCGGGTAGAAGTGGGAGGGTGGCTGGACAGCATAGGAGCACGGGCAAGGCGGCTTTGTCGAGGTAGGGGCTGAATATCTTGGAAATCATCCGTGTCAAACCCATCAGCAGGAGCCGGAGGGTATGCACGGGCCTCTAAAGCAGGGGGCCGGCTGGGATGGGCGTGATAGGTGAGTATTAAGGACGTGAGCAAGGGCAGAGATTGGATCGGAAGGCTCGGGGACGTTAGCCGGGGGCGGAGAAGGGGTTGGAGGATCAGAGGGAGGAGGTGGAGGAGGTAAATCAGTGGGAGGCGGGGCAGGAATCGCGGAATTAACCAGGGAGGTAACAGCAGAGAAGAGGGCGGATATCGAGCTAGACAGGTTGAGTCAGGAGTCACCGGGGGAGGGGTCGGAGGGATGGGAACAGGGGGCTGGGTCGTAACAGCGTGGGTAGAGGGTTGGGACGGCAAATCAGTCGGGAGGGGAGGAGGCAACGAGGTAGAGGGGACCGAGATATCGGGAGGGGGTACCACTGGAGAAGGGGTTGGAGGGGTGGGAACGGGGGGCTGGGTCAGGGCGGTAAGGGCAGAGATTAGGGACGGCAAATCAGCCGAGAGGGGAGGAGGCAACGAGATAGAGGGGCCCGGGACATCGGGAGGAGGTAACACTGGAGAAGGGGTTGGAGGGGTGGGAACGGGGGGCTGGGTCAGGGCGGTAAGGGCAGAGATTAGGGATGGCAAATCAGCCGGGCAGAGATTAGGGACGGCAAATCAGTCGGGAGGGGAGGGGACAACGAGGTAGAAGGGGCAGGGACATCGGGAGGAGGTGACACCGGAGAAGGGGTTGGAGGGGTGGGAATGGGGGGCTGGGTCAGGGCGGTAAGGGCAGAGATTAGGGACGGCAAATCAGCCGGGAGGGGAGGGGACAACGAGGTAGAAGGGGCAGGGACATCGGGAGGAGGTGACACTGGCGAAGGGGTTGGAGGGGTGGGAATGGGAGTCTGGGTCAAGCGGTGAGGCAGATTAGGGACGGCAAATCAGCCGGGAGGGGAGGGGACAACGAGGTAGAAGGGGCAGGGACATCGGGAGGAGGTAACACTGGAGAAGGGGTTGGAAGGGTGGGAACGGGGGGCTGGGTCAGGGCGGTAAGGGCAGAGATTAGGGACGGCAAATCAGCCGGGAGGGGAGGGGACAACGAGGTAGAAGGGGCAGGGACATCGGGAGGAGGTGACACTGGCGAAGGGGTTGGAGGGGTGGGAATGGGAGGGCAGGGACATCGGGGGGAGGTGACAGTGTGTGGATAGTGGGAGGATCAGCCTGAAGGATGGGAGGGGTGCCTGGGAGAGTTGCAGGAGGATGGAGCGAGGCAGAAAGGGCAGCTATTAATGGTGCAAGATCAACAGAAGGAGGGGAGGTGTGGGGGCAGAGAGTTGAGTAGAGGATGAGAGGATGGAGAGAAGAGAAGAGAGGTCCGGAGGCATAAGGGAAGCGGGATCAGCGGGAGGACAAGGGTCTGGAGGATCTGGGGCGGTGGGGTGAGTAAGGGTCGAGAGGGCAGAGAGCGAAAATTAGAGTGTTTGGTCGATGGGTGGGGTACTCCTGAGTGACATCTAGTGGTCAGTTTAGTAATTTATTGAATAATATTGAGTATAACTAAATGGAGTAAATAGACATTTTACTAGCTAAAAATATGTCAATATTTCATGTCACCAGGTCCATGAGGGTCTCCCACAGTTTCCCGTCGCCATCTTGCTGCACGAGGTAGTTAGTCGGTGTTAAAGGGGCAGGGGGAGGAAGGGGTTAGAGCTTCTAGCAGCCATCTTGATTAGAGCTTCAATAATAGAATTTAACATAACTTCATAGACGTCCTTGTCCGTTTATTCTTCATACAATACACATAAACATGATATTCCGTATTTTACAGTATTAACAAAGGCATGAAACATAAATCGTGTTAAGCATTCTCAATCGCATGAAAATAAATCTTAAGATTCTACATTTGATATAGCTATTGTTTAAAGAATACTACTTTGAGAAAAAAAAATGTGTTTTATTTTTAAAGGCAGTACATTATCAACCCCACAGAGCACATTTTTTTATTTATGCTGCTGAATTCAAGCTTTGTAATGACCATTAGTTATATTTTTGTGCATTGTCTACACTTCAAAATGTCTAAAATCATTTTTGTGTTAGAGCTTTATTTTTGTTTAGATTCATAATGAGCCTGACTGCAACATGATTTTATACATATGTTTGCCTCTATAAGGAGTCAAATAGTGTTCTTGTATATTTAATAAAGCTTCCTGGCTAGTGATTTAATGCTCTAAAAAGATTAAATACACAGAAAATAAAATAAACAGACCTTTAAATTAGTTGAAATGAGAAAAAAATAAGAAAATTATGAAGTGAACATACAAAATGAAAACATGGTAAAGGTTAAATTGCTGTTTGACTAAAGAAAAATTCACAAAAATGCACCCTCCCACCCCGCCCCCGGGCAAGATATAAAATCCTGCATATGGCCAATAAATTTTTTTAGAAGATAAAGTAATCACATCAGAATCCAGATAAAGCTGAAACCACATACTGGAACTTCCAGTGCTTTAAACTATCTCACCTTTTGGCAAGCCTCTATTTCCCCCATGTGTCACATACCGTATATACTCGTGTATAAGTCGATCTCATGTATAAGTCGAGTGCAGTTTTGTGACCAACAATTGTGAAATATGCTATGCCTCGTGGATAAGTCGAGGGTAAAACTTGGGGCTATGAAATTCTGTGATTTTTACAATTATATACACACACACTCATACAATACACACACTCTGCATTATATACACACACACTCTGCATTATATACACACACTCTGTGTATATAATGCAGAGTGTGTGTTTGTGTAGTGTGTGTGAACTGGGTGTGGGGAGGGCATTTTTATTATTTAAATTTTTTATTTATTTTAATATTATTATTTATTTTTTTTGTCCCCCCCTCCCTGCTTGTTAACTGGTCAGGGAGGGGGGCTATCTTAATCCCTGGTGGTCCAGTGGCATGGGCTGTGAAGTGGGGGGGCCGGCAGGAAGCATTTACTTACCTTTCCTGCAGCTCCTATTCTCCTCCCTTCTCCTCCGTTCCGGTCAGCTCCACTGTAAGTCTCGCGGTCTGGTTGCCGCGCGGATCGTTGCCATGGCTCTGACGGCCGTGGCTCTCTAAGTTGCCATAATACAGACAGTGACTCGAGTATAAGTCGAGCGGGGGTTTTTAAGCACAAAAAATGTGCTGAAAAACTAGACTTATACTCGAGTATATACTGTACTTTATTTTTAGTGCGTGTATCCCTTTTCTGAATAACAATTTTTCCTTGTAAATCTGTGCTTTCTCACAGTCTCGTCCTGTAAATTGGTTGTTATGGAGTTATACCTCTAAACAAAATAAAGTAGACAAAAATATAGATCTAAAGTTCAATACAGCTGGAGAATTTATAGCTAATTGTATGAAATTTGATGATGGAATGCTATTAAAATTGCATACGTGTGTACAAGCCCTACAGTTACGTTTGTTAATATGCAATTCAGTTTTAACTCATGGTGCATAATTTATAGTTTACATTTTACATTTGAGTCAACATTTTCTCTTCTCATTTTTATTATTTATCTATAAAGGCTGAGTTTTCAGTTAATATTTTACTTGTAAATAAAGAAACTCTTTTCAGTAATAGAGAATATTAGTTACTTATTAGTAAGTATGTCCCAAAGGACATGTTAAAAATAATACAAACAAAGTTATTCTCTGCATTTCTCTCTTGATCTTTTCCGATACTGAGTATTTTTCTGATTCTACCTGTTAAATGAATGAACATGTACCAAAGACCTTGACCAAGATATCTATTTTGCTGGGAAACAGTCTGCCAGAAAAAGCTTTAAACAAACAAAAAAAAAGTATACATTTTACATTTACTAAACATGATTTTTTTATAAAGGGGGCGGAGCCAACGCTCGAGCTGAACAGAGGCCATTCCTGATCGCTCCTCACTTACCTTGAAAATCGCTATACAGACCCGCCAAAGTTCAAAATAAATCGAGGCACCGCAAGCAGGGCGACAGGCTGCGTCGACCAATGCCTTTCACGTTCACCCCAAGGCAAACGAGGCCAAAACGCAAAG